TTTTTTTTTTTTGAAAAAAAGGTCATTTTTTGTGTCACTGGTTCTTTTCAAACTTTCATTTGATAAAAGCAACTTTATTTTTAGCTTCCTTCCAAAAAGAAAAATGAAGAATGCTCGCTGCGAAGAAAGGCTTCGATGAGTTTTGAAAGTATATAACAGTTTTTTTTTTTGAACGGTTTATAAGTTATGTCTCTATGTAAAGGAGTTTGTTGTCATTTCACCTTACAAAATTTTAACAAAAGTTGTTGCTTTCTTTCAGCAGCACCATTTTTGGGGTAAATCATAGACTGCTATTGCAGACCAGTTTGGTATTTCGAAGAAGAAACGGTGTAGGAAATCGTTGATGAAATTCAATGATATTCGGGTGTTTTTCCTAAGTGGTTTCACTGAAGACCAGCTTACTGCAATGATAAAAGTTGTTTCTTTTCTTCGACAGTTGTGATATCGACTAATTCTTATATATATTATTTGCACCTTTATAATTGATATTGAGTTTTAGAAAATTGAGAAGATGGGTGCCCAAACCACACTCTCTATTAGCGATGCTACACATGTTATTGGAGTCAAAGTAACGTAGTTCATTTTCAGCTTATTTTAATAGTAATTTAACTTTATAACTGGCAGCTTTTTGGTCTGGCTGCATTTCCTGTACTTGTTATTCGCTGGGCTACGATTGACGTTGCAGTTCTTCCAATCTCTTTCTGTTTTCAGTCTTAGTAGTTTTACGCATGCCTCCTAAAAGCAACTTTATAGGTAAGGCGAACAACGAATTTTGTGTGTGCGGTTGCTCTTCGTCTTCCCATTGTTTCTGAGGAATGGATTGATGACAGTCTTGCCTTGAAAACTGACAGTAAGTGTTCTCATGCCCAGCTCAAAGTCTTATATTTTTAGCTCAGGAATATGTCACTTTCCAGAACATACGAAATTAATTTATTTGTTAAGCGTGGAAGAGACATCTTTTGCTCGATCCTGTTGGTGAAAAACGTGCTGAAATTGTTATTCGGGATATTTACAAAGAGCCTTTTTCGGATATTTTAGCTGGGTTTAGTGTTTATACAACGACAAATGTAGTGCCACCGAAGGACCAGATCAAGAGTTACTCTCATTTATTACTTTTTTAAGTGTTTATTCTTACAGTAATTGAACTCCAATGGTAGTAGCTTTTGACCTGTGGCCCAATTATTTCAGCTGTTGTGGAATGCATTGGTGCTAAACTTATTGATGCACTTCCAGCGAAGAAATGGAAATGTGTCGTTTTGACAAGTCAGAAGGACTATGATTCTAGCGAAGTAAATTTGGCTAAGAACATAGGAATTCCTATTATCGAATGTAGAAGTTTATACGCTGCGATTTTTTGCAACAGTACTAGTGCTTTAAAATTCATTTCGGGAAGTTTGGGCTAACCGTCTATTGATTCCATTTAGTAAATATGTGTCTTCTGAGTTACATTTGCCTCGTTCTTGATATTTTATAATTAAGGGCTATGTTAGCGCATTTTGCTTTTGGGATGCAAATTCGAGTTAGTTTTTGAAACCGGTGTTTTGTTTAGTACACATCTGTCACTTCTGTTTCAATTTACTGTCACTATTCCAGTGAGAATTCCAAACTTTTTATTCGTACCTTTATTGATTCTGAATAGAAAACCATGAAAGAAATCAGCAGGATTTTGGTAGAGACTGAACTTCAAATTCTCAGGATAGTGTTCAATTGTTGAAAAATGGTTTTAAATCACTCTTAGGTCATGAGCGCTAACGAAATTGAACAATTATATTCCAAACGCACTTAAAATCTGAATTAGCAGAAAGTCTGTTGTTAATTGTTTTGCACTAGCATAGCATATATCTGACATTTGGGCATTTGGAATCTAAAGGAGTTTTTCCGACCGACTTGATTGAAGGGTTGAACATATTTTAGTTGTTTTCTTACTTCCCTCAGACTTATGCTTCTTGCTTCTCTAGATTTTATTGGCTAAGCTTCTATAAAACGACGATGGTATGAAATAAGTGTGGTTGTATTTGTTTCAAAAGTTATACCTGTTTTGCCTATTAACACTGTGTAATACGTCTTTCAGTGTCATAACTTATATATTTGGTCAGTTGTTTCAGGGAACTGCGAGATGGAATGGTGGAAAAGAATGATTGTTTGCTACTTTATTCAGAAATAAAGTTGGAGGGGAGGGGGGGCTAATGATTAAGGTTTTTGTAATCAGCGTTAGATGTTTGTGAAGAAGGGGTAGGGGTGATAAGCTACTTAATACGCTTTTGCAGTAAATTCGACGCGTTTGATCCACCTGGCTTGATTTCGGTGGTTTCTATTTTTTTTTATTTAAAGGTGTCATCTTCTGTGATCTCCTTGTTTACCGTCTTCCTGGTTTTTTCTTCTCAAGTTTTTAATTTTGCGGAGGGGAAGTTGTTACCTTTGGGTAATTATTCTGTAGAGAAAAGACTGTTTGCTTGTTATTCGTTACTATTTGAGTTCTCATGGCTGGTTAAACCTACAAGCAAATTTCTGTATGGCAATATTCGTGGGCATGACTAACTGCAGTTGCGAGAAAGTTGATTAAAGACTATGGTGGGAGAAAAGAAGATGCGACGCTTAGTTTCTATTGCAAATGGAAGTCAAACTGAATCAAACATTGAAGTTTTAAGTGTGGCATTATCTGCGCTGGTAGAAACGCCTTTCTAGAGTTTTGAAGCAAGATTTGAATTAGAATGAGAGTTTTAAATTTCTTAGTTTTCTAAAAGAATAATTCTTTGCAATCTGCCATCTCTTTCTCAAATTTTTAAAGCGAGGCTTTAGCTTGACTTGAATTT